ATTAAATAACTTGACAAACGTCCGTGTAAATCCGTTATGCAATTCATTTTATTGCCAAGTTGATTTCGAGTATAGTAACAAACAAACAAGAAAAGACATTTTTCACATTGGCTTTTAAAAAAAATAAAAGCCTTATCAACATTTTATCGAGACACCATAATCAAATAAAATGATAAAAACCCACAATAAGAATTTACACAAAAGAAATTACCTATAAAACTTTTGACATGCAATAAATACATTCATTTCACTAAAGCAAAGTAAGATCAATATAGACACTGAAATACGCAGAATGCACAAAGAGAAAATACTGTTTTGGTTTAAGTGTATTGCTTTTACTTGTCATTTTGGTATAAAAGGTAAAACCATGTAACAAAAACACCGGACGCTGCTGATGCTTCTGGCACGCCTGGTTCATGCCTGCTGAAATATGATCCTGTCGTCTACTAAAAAAAAAAAAAAAAATCTAATTTCCATTGTAAATTTGTGATGCATGTATTCTGCCATGCATTTTTCCATTTATTCACAGCTACAATTGTCTACGTGGCAGCCTGTGTTCCTGCATAACATATTTGTCCCTGAACCACAGTCGGGCACAACCACCTCAAAATGTCAAAGTGGTCTTCATTAGATCATAATCCATCATTTCTACACTTCTCCTTACCGATTTTCCAAAACCAAAATAGATGCTTGTGCCTTTGTGTACGTAAGTGTGTGTGAGGACCCTGAGGCTCTGTAACATTTTGGCACAGGTTTCAGCGTGTGACGGGTGAAAGCCGTCAGTGGAATAGCCTTTCTTTAAAAATGGGTTTTTCTACAAGAAGCGACACTCCAAACGGAGCAGAGCAAGCTAATTAAATCTGACCTAATCTGGAGCAGCAGTCTGCCATCCAGCTGTGTGTTTATGTGTGCGTGAGCAGGAGTGTGTTAGAGAGATATACAATCGAATATTCTCCCCCGGCTGACTTTCACTGCACCAAATTCCTGCTTGTTTTGTCCTAGCTCTCTGTTTGTCTTCAGATTTAAACTTCTGGAGCAGAAGTTGTGCACTGTAAACTAAGCAATTAAAGCCAAGGTCCACTCAGTGGACTTTGTATGTGTTCAAGGTAGAGAGAGAAAAAGAGATCCAAACAAAACAGATGCAGGAGGATATGGACAGACAGAAGCCCCTTCACTATTTCGCTACAAAGAGCCTACTGTAGGTCATGTGCTGATTTGGTGATAATTGCTAGGCCTGGAAAGAGGGTGTCATTTCCAATGTCACACTGACATGAACGTTAAAATTAAAAACCTGAAATTGACCTGCAGTGATAAAAAAAAAAAAAGAAAAATAAACATGTCCTCATAAGATTAAATTGGAAGCGGGTGGAAAAAGAGTGGTGAGCAGACACACACAACGCTGCCAGCTTTCCTTTGTTATTTACTGAAGGTTAAGACTATCAAGCACAAGCTATTTTTCTCTCTGTTTCTGCTTCTTTTCCTCTCAACCCTCTCTCTGTTTGTTCTCTCCATCTCAGCGCATGACTTGGCTGGTGCAGCTGAGGCCCGACTCAATTGTGCAATTTCATACATGTTTACTTTACTGGCATCTTTCTGAGCATATTTTCCCTGAACATTTCCTCTCACATTATTCTGCATTTCCTCTACAACAATAAGATGTCTTTAATCTCTCCTTTGTAAGCCATTCCTTGGCTTGAAGATCACAATACAATAATGTTGTCAAATACAGGGTTTTTTTGGGTCCGTCATTTGTTGTATTTTAACACATGCCACAAAGTTCATTTTGGAAATTGATCAGGGCTTAAAGAAAAAGAAAGTAGCTCTTCACATAAACATTTAGACAACTGTCTTCTTCAGCATGAAAAACAGCTGGAAGTAAGTGGATCATGGGAGAGGAGGGGAGGCAGCGGGTGCTGTGGGTCAGCGGTTTGTGTTAAGTGTAAGAAGAGAGAAGGCACAGAGAGAGGTGAAGAGGGAAGCTGTGCTTTGAGGGTACGAGGGCGGTGAACGAGTGTGGCCGAGCTCTGCACTGGAGGGAGGAAGAAAAGGAAGCAAAGTGCCAGAGGAAAGGCAATTGTGGGACTTCTAGGGGATCATAAGAGCAATAAAAAATCACAATACAATGATTTTTCCAGAAAAGTGCAGTTCAGAGAAATAAATCAAAAGCAGCTGCTTGTAATAAAGAGCCTCGAAAGTGTCAGGTATCTCCCTTGTACTTCACCCTGCTACACTGTGGGAAAGGCATTCAGACATGTAGATGGGCAGGTGCATTAAGTAGCCACATCAGAAACCTCCCCATGCTACAGTCGTACAATTTATTGCAGGATAACTTCATACTTTTTATACCGAAGGCACGTTTGAACTGACTGACTTCAGAGTCAGTTTTCCCATTTAAAGGACAAGCTTAGGCTTGAATATCAATATCTGACTCTAGCTTATATTTAAACATAAGTGCTCATAAATAGAAAAATATGTACTGTACACAGGACAATAGTAACTTGTGCTCACGTTCTCACGATTACCCACACTGATAATGACTTTCCTAACAAGGTAAAGATGGTTACAAGCTAAGCTCACCGATGCAAACCTCAACGTTTGTTGCTGAGTTTAGTTTTGTGCATCTGCGATGTCTATCGAAAGCTTCAGTCTTTTGTGGCACACCTTGCAAAATATAATAAATGTCAAACAGTGGTATGATTTCAGACTGTGATGCCGACAGGCGGCACAGAGGTGACCTTGGCCTCCTGCGACTGGAAGAAAGCTTAAAGGCATGCTTTGCATTTTTTAACGTTAAAGCCAAATCCTTTTTTGGTCCACGAGATGCTACTGCAGATCATCCAGAACCCTTTTAACTTCTATAATGTTAGTGTTACAAAAAGTTACAGGACTGGGATGGTTGCCATAAAAAAAGAAAGAAATTAAAAAAGGGGAAATGACATGACAAGTAAAGTACAAAAACAACCCACACCTAATTTTTTGTGGCTTTTGTTAGTGCATTCATTTATATTTGCATTCACTCATTTGATTCTAAAAATTCATTTAACTAATAAACTCTTTAGATGCCTAATTATGTTACGCTCCAAACATCTTCATCAAAACCACTGTGGTGGCAATAAGAGTTTTGCTGGGCTTACTTGTCATATAAATAACATTAACAAAGGGAAAGGGCATAAAACCCATGGGGTGGGTGGCTACATCAGTAAATTGAAACAAGGCTCTTCTAATTAGACTAAGTGAAACAACCACAGAGCAAAGGAAACACTGCCAAGTTTTTCAATTAGGCTCTACAATACACTCACTGGGGTCTTCCTATTATTTAGTCTTGCCTCAAATTTAAATAAAATGTTCAAAATATGGATATATAGCAAATAGAGGGGAAATTTATTTTAAAAAACCACGAGGATGCCAAAAGTATTGAGTCTACAATATCCTCAAATTCTAACAAAGCATCTAAATGTCTCACCATGCAGCCCTTGAAAGCCTTCAATGCAACATCACTGTGATACTGAGCAGAGATTTATTCCCAAAAAGCAACAAGGGGAAGGAAAAGAGAAGATACAGACTACTTGTTTTCTGAATGGAGAGTTTCAGAAGTGTGGACAGGCTTTCATATTAGGACAATGGCTCGCATCCACCCTGCTGTGCTCTCCCTGCTCCTCTCCCTCCCCGTTCTCCGTCTTTCTATCTGCTTCTGAGTAGAAACACACGGCACATCCTGCTCAGCACAACACACCAGCCAAAAGTTCACTTCCTGCTCCTCAGCTCTTCTCCTTCACACCAACCCTATTCCCAGGACATGCATTACCAGGCCTTCATGCGCTTAAATAGCACAGGGACACACAAACAGACAAGCAACTGCTTCCCCTTTCTAAAGACGTGAAACGCTCCCCTCCAGTAACATTCGCACATAAATGAAATTAAGCAGATTTCAAACAGTGCGCTTCCTACAGAAATGCTCGGGCATTATCTTGGTCTTCCCTCTTATACAGATTTGGTGTGACAGTGGAAGCGGTATGTTATTTTAACTAGTGAAGGGGAGTGTGGAAATTCTCACGACTGCCTCTGCCTGTTTTTTAGGTTTTGAACACATACACACACGTTTGTAGATGAAGCCTCTACTGGTTTTATTTTTATTTTTTCTGCTATGTTCTTTTCCTTTTTTTCTTTTTTTGCAGAGCACCAAACAAAACAAGCTGGCTTCCTGTGTGCTTGTGTGCATGAGCGACCTCCGTCTGACTCTTGTCAAAAGTTCACTAACCTCTGAGGAAAAGGGGGTCAAACAATACGAGGCTAGCTTTCATAGTCAACCAGCAAAGCCACTGCGTGTCTGTTTAAGGAAGTACAGATGATGCATCATGTCTTTCACAGAGAGAGCAAGAGAGGGAGAGAGACACAGAGAGAGAGGGAGATATTTCACAACACAAAGCTTGTCAGCTCAACTTTACTGTAATATATTGATCTCGCTGCCTTCATACTTACTAAACTGTGGTTCAGATATCGACAAGCACTTAAGGTACAAGCATAAATGGCTTTGCCTTATGTTACAACAATGGAACTGGTCAGACATAAATGTCATTGAAGAAGACAAAATAGAAAAAATGTATACCACGTACTATAACAAAAATGTTAATACCACCTTATCTCTCCACAACAAAACTGTAACAACAAATGGATAAACAAAGAATTAACCACAGGTTTAACACAGGACAACGATCCTGTTAATAAAAAAAAAAAATACTAAGGTGAGTGTGGGTGAGTGTGTGCATGTATGTGTGTTGATACTGTTGATCTATAGTTTACAAAAGATTAGCATCTCCACGCTGGGTTCAGTCCTGAGGTAAGCACCAATTTCACGTGCGCTGCTTTCAGTTCAAATTAAAATGAAGAAAAGTGACAAGAAACAACATGTTTGATATGATCATATGCTACAGAAAATAAGCCCTTAAATTATCGTTACATTTAAAAAGAAAAAGGAAAAGTAAGTAAGGCACACTGTATGATTTTTTTTTTTTTAGCCTTTATGATTCACTACGTCTATCACAGTGTATTTATGGCTTTAATCTTCACATTCACCCTCTGAGGTTGGCATCGGCACTATAGTGGTCAAACATTTCTAATCTGAATTGAGGACTAGTAAAAGTGGACAAAGACCCAAAAAAAGAAGAAAAAAAATGCAACTTCTTTTTTTTTTGGAATAAAGATTTACAAACAAAAATGTGCCTTCAACCCACAATCTTTAAGTGCTCTTTTGTTTTCAGGCTGCTCAGCCAACACACAAATCAGTCATTCATTGTTTCCGCATTTAATACCAGCAGGGCCGAGAGGCAAGGCCAGGACACATTTGCTAGGCTGGGATCTAATGTTAATAAGTGGATCAGAGGGGTACAATGGCAGGCATGAAATGGGACATCACGCCAGCGAGCAGTGTGAATTGTCCAGGAGAAAGTGAGATTTCACAGGGATTACTGAAGCACAGCAGCTGGGAGTGCTATTCACCCGCTGGCTTCCAAGGAAGACCCACAAACCCCTTCTTATGTTCATATCACTGACAGATTAGCAGCTTGCTGTGTGTGAAGGGGGAGCGTATATGCATCCGGTGTTTGGAGTGCTTCTAAGGCAAAGGGCTGAGTAGAGCACTCACTTTGGCCTGTCAACAGTAGCGGGGCTCCCAGACAACAGACTACAGGGGAGGGAGGTCAAATGAGAGGCCGGACGGTGGAACAGAGAAGCATCCAACAAAGCCTCTGACTACTGTTGCTCCACGATTAATCATCAGACCGCAATGAATGGTTTAACTGCTGATGACAGTAAATGACAGATTTCTGTGTCATTAAGCCCATCCTTACCCCTGCCTCTATGCTCAACTGTATCCATAATTGTAATAATTGCACAATGTCAGCGGCAACACCCATGCTTCATGTACACCATAAGATGAAGCTCCACTGGCCGTGAACGGGGATTAGTGTGTCATCAGTTGGGTATGTGCAATCATGTCCCAGTTATGAGATCACAGGGCTGTGCTTGCTGCATCTCAATAACAACTGAGCGCAAAGGGGTGGTTGTCGAACTGCACAGGAAGTTTCGGCTCATAAGTGGTTGAAAGCTGGGCATAAGGTGGATTCAACTGCTGTCATATAGTACAAGCCCTTTATCCACACAAATATGCAGAGTGGTGAGTGGTGTTACTTTAAAATAAATGGTGATTGGGGAATATATTGCCCTGGTGACTATCAAAATGCTCTTATCATTCAGTCATTTTCCAAGATGGTGAGAAGCTGGAGAGCGAGATACATAAATTGTCCAGTACCCCAAAAACAGGAAATTAAAAAATGAAATAATAGAAAAAAACAGACGAAATGTACTCCCATTCCTTTAAAGTCCAGGTGAGTGGCCTTATTCATATTATAAAAGTTCTGGACAAACCCTGAAATTTGTCCTTATGTGCTTTTTCTTTCTTTCTTTTTTTTTTTTTTTACAAAGTTGAATAGTACACAGGTTTAGGGTCAGGGATAGTTTTTGTTTTCTTTGGATTCCACCATAATAAAAAATAAATAAAACAATTTTCATTTTGGTTTTCAATTTTTCACTTTGGCTCAATGGCTGTAATCATAGGAAAAAAAGTTTCTTTGCATACACTGTACATAAATACTGTACTTTTTTTTTTAAAGTGAGTGTCCCTTGGTCACGTAATAGCACAAAGCTCCTTTATGAAGGAGGTCTTTAGGATACATTAGATGCATAGAAAGGCACTTACAGTCTACACATTTTGGTGTGCATTAGCAGACCAATTGTTTATGGCCTGAGTCTGAGGTGCAGAGATATTGAGTTGAGGTGAATGGAATAAGGATACTGCAAATTGTGTGTGCACACAGACTTATCGGTGATATCACATGTCTTAACTTGGTGAGTAGCGGTCGATGGTTCGGGCGTCAGAGAGGGCCTGTGGGGGCAGTGATTGGCCCAGGATGTCCATCTTGTCGTGGGTGAGGCCCAGGTGTTCAGAGGCCAGTTTGGAGAGTGGATACAGGCTCTCCATGACCTTTGCATCAGCCACCAGTTGCTGCTGCGCTTGGATGAGAAGCTCACTAGCCTTCTCTTGTTTGAGTCCAAGATGCTCTGCTGTGTATTTACTCAGAGGATAAATGCCCTCTGCAAAGTCCAGCTTCAGTTTCCCATCTGTGGTCAGGCTCCCTGCAGTCCCTCCACTGCTGTGCATCTTCATGTGGCTGATGAGATTGCGCTGCTGAGCGAACTTTCCCCCACACACCTGACATTCATAGGGCTTCTCACCAGAGTGAATGCGCATGTGCTCAGTGAGGCGGTACTGCCGGGTGAAGCGCATGCCACAGGAGTCACAGGCAAAAGGTTTGAGGCCGAGGTGGCTACGCATGTGGCGGGTCATGGTACCGCGCTGTGTAAATTTCTTGCCACAAATACTGCAGGGGTAAGGCCGTGTCAGCCAGTGGGTCTTCTCATGTTGGCGCAAAGTGGCTGGATCTTTGTAAGACTTGTCACAGGTGGAACAGCGGTAGGGTCGAATCATCTCCCCGATGCTCGCTGGATTCAGCTGGCTCGACTTGGTCTCCAGGTGTGACAAACTGTTCAGAGTGTTGCTGCTGTTGAGGCTTCCATAACCGTTTGTGTTACTGCTCATGTTTTTGCTGCTGCTGTTATTGCCGTTTCCTATGTCCCCGCCTGAGTTGCCGTACAGCTCCTCTTCCGTGTGTGTCTCCACATGTGCATTGAGCTGCTCTGAGCTTGGGAAGCCTTTGTCACAGGGAATGCACACATACAGATTGTCCCCGAAGCTCTCCGGCTCGTACGGCATGTGGAACCTCCCCATTGGTCCAGTCGGGGATGGGCGACCCTCACTGCTGCCTGTCTCTTCTGTGCCTGACCCGCTCTTGTCATCTGCTCCTTCACTCTCCTCCCCAGTCTTGTGATGGTTATGATGCTGATCTCCATTTTCACCCCCTTCCTCTTCATCTTCATCCTCATCTTCATCTTCAGCTGTGTATGACAGCGGTTCGTGTTTTACCCAGCGGTAGATGTTGCCCATTTCTCTGCCTGCCTCTCCGCCTTCCGTGGGGGTGTCCGGACTTGGGGGGCATGGGTAGCGGTCTGTCCCCTGGGAACCTGAGCGATGCAGGTGGGGAAGGTGCGGGGCTATCGGTTGGTTGAGAGGTGGAAAAGGTGGCGGAGTGAGGGAGCCTCCCTGGTCAGTTGATTCCATTTTTTCTGAGGGGAAAGCTCTGCCATTCATCCCATGGATAGGACTTGTGCGGTCACTCAGAGTCCCATCTCGCTCCTCGTCATTATGAGTGTTCCCCAGATGGGTCTGAGAAGGTGTGAGCTGAGACTGAGAGGTGGGGCTTTTCTTAGAGAGATCAAGGCCGAAGCTGGGTGAGCAGTTCCTGTCGGATAGGGCTGCACGCCCAAGCTGAGAAGGCAGAGGTGACTGCAGAGAGGGGAACACCTGAGAGCCCTGGGTGGAGGTGGGAGCATACAACTCTCCTGTATGAACAGCTAGTCGATGTGGAACAAGCTCCTCTGGTGGTAGTGCCCGGGGTCCGTGGCTGTTCAAAATTCCGCCTGGAGGACAGGATTGAATGACAGGAGTAGAAACCCTATACCTGCCACCACTCCCTAAACCCATGCTATTTGGCCCCATCTTTGAGTAGGGTAGAAATGCTGGACTTGGGCGGGGAGGGTACTTGCCATTTCTTCTTAGCTTCTTTTTGCACAAAGCCACTAAGTCAAGCAGTTGAAGGTAGCTGGCTGCTGCCAAGACAGCCCCTAGATTTGGTTCATTTGGAGAAGTGGGGTCTCCATCACTAAGGCGGCCTGTGTAGATGTAGTCCAGAATTACCCTGAAGACCCCTGGACTCACCATCTCGTGATCGAGGTTGATGAGATTGTCATGGACCACCAAAGACTTCAAGTAGAGGCTGCTGGCAGCCAGAATGTTCTTGTGAGCTCTGAAGAGGGCGTTCTGCACCACGATGATAACATCACACAGGAAGCCCTTGGTGCGTTGGCTGTTGAGTTGCAGGAGGAGATCCCTAGCATGACTTGGAACTTCCATGGCATCCAGCATTGTTTTCAGTCCACCACCTGCAACAACAGATATCTGTAAAACGTCATGCAGCAGTCATCATTTCAAGTCACAATAAGCCAATTAATGTGCAATTTTCTGCACCACTAAAAGTATTATTGATGCATTTCATAATCACAATCTATCAAAAGTTACAATAAACACATTACATTAAATAAGAGTATATTTTCAGAAGTTTGAGTGCCAAAAGCTTTAACAGCAAACGGGCTAGTAATGTAAACCATTAAAAAAAAGACCTCGCATATGGATGCACTTATTAAGATGAATTAACCGCTGTCAGATTTTCTTTTAAAACATAAACAATACTTAAATACGTCTTAATGGAAGCTCACAGTTACGCTTTTATGATTCGCTTATTATTTGCGTAACAGCTATTTAAGCAGATTGACCAGCTTTGACAGTAAAGTGCAAAACTTATGTGTGGAAAGTGCACGGAAAGGCCACTCGGTAGAAGTGAACTTTTGCAAAAGGTGAGCAGTTGCAGTGGTTTTCTCATTATAAGAAATTCAAGTCTTTGCATTCACTTCCTCTGCAGCAAGCAAAAAAAGAGAAAGAGCTCAAGAGAGAGAGCCACAAATATATATTTTGTAATTGCTGGCTTCCTGATAAAGTATTCCAGAAGTGCTGCACACAGTTTTAAACAAAGCTTAGGGACAAATGTTTTGCTAATATGACGAAGAGCAGGTATAAACCTGTGGGGGAAGGACACATCCAAAAAAAGATCGAGATTTCAGCTCCCCTTCTTGCCCAGTCATATAAGGAACACTGAGCGCACGGGATGTAAATCAACATTAGGTGTTTCAATACGCTACGTTGAGGTAGGTTTCAAAGATCCAGTGTGCGCCTACACACACGCGCACAAACATGCACATGTACACGCTCAAATCCCGACAGTAATTGTTCCACCAATCTTAAAACAAACTATATTGGCTGCACGAATGAAATCCCACGTATTGTTCAATCAGTGGCATCTGAGCCTAGTTTACTTACAAGATTAAACGTCTCAAACTGTCCCTAAAGGCTCAGTCTCACTGATGGGAAACAAGCAGCTAAATAAATATCGTGTCATCCATCTGATCGCTGTCTTCCTGACACCAGCTCATTCACTTCTTGTTTATTTCATTAAGTGTACACACTCAGCATAAGAAGGGAGAAGTATGAGTTAAAAAAAAAAAACCTGACAAATGAGTTACTGAGGAATTATGACAATTCCCGAGCAAAATGTGTCAATTTTTTCCTTCAAAAATCTTCCACAGCTAAGACTGAGCATTTTTAAAATGTTGATTGTTCAGCATTAGAGCTGCGAAATCAGACAGAAATGTCATCACTCACAAAATGGAAAATGACAAGTCACAGTCAAGTCCAGCAAGTGATCATCTGATAAGCATCATGCGATAAATATCAAAGGAAATTTCTGTTTTTAACAACAAATGCCATTTTAAAAAAAATAATTCATTTTGAATTTTTTTAAAAGGTCATGTCGTCATTTCCACACGTACAGCTGAACTATTGTATGATCGGAAGTATATCTTTTAAAAAGACAGTTCTAGTAAGGGTAGTACGTGGGCTCACACTCCATCCTGTTTCCAGCTGACATGTGAAGTGCATCCACCGCCGGCTTCTCTTCTTTTCGGCTTTCAGCGGACATAATTTACTAGAAATTTTCATGACATCAAACGAGTTTAAGATCTAAGTAAATATGAAGAATTGACCGAGTAATTTCCATAACTTGCTGAGCTGTTGCAGTCTTCATCGCACTGAGCTGATTACTTGTTACTCTGAACCGTATGTTAACAGACTGTGTACATTTTCTCCTGTATGTGGTTTGTAGTGCACATTTAAGCATTAGAATTTCATCAGAAAGCCTGGCAGAAAACTAAGCCTTCTTTATATCCTGACTTCTGATTAAATACTTCTTCACAGTACATAAAAATCTTTTTCTTAATTGACATATTACAACATCTATGTGCACCTGCAATGTCCTGTGGATACAGCCTAACAATTTTTTTTAGTAATGTTTTGTGATAACAACAGGCACAGTGTTTGTGAGTTTACTATCAAGACAACAAAGACCTCTATGCTTTTGCTCTTTGAGTTGTTTGACAGGCTACAACTTGCCCTTTAAATAAACTCTCGACTTACTATAGCCCCTGACAAAAAGTGAAACATTACAGTAAAAGATGTAATACAAAACGCTTGATCTTGAGGCCATGTGTAAGCTGGCTGTATCCTGTTAGGAAGCTATCGATGATTGCAATATTTAGTCAGAGAACACATCTTAAAGAGAACCTGCTACATGCCGTGAACTTGAAAACACATTTTAAGCCTATAATAAGCCACAAAAACTGCTTGTTTTGTTATGTTAAACATGCGCTGTAATGTTATTCTTCAAGACTGCACATACAGTGCAGTTTCCTGAGGGAAGCTTACAGCTCCCTCGTAGATTGATAGCTTTCTTCTAAAAGACCCCTGAACAGGCTAGAAAATCTCTTATGATTGTTATGTAGTTTATGGCAATGACATTCACCTTTTTGCATTAGATTAATAGTCATTGTTTCTAAGTTTTGTCTGTTTTGTCACTTTTGTGGTTTGGGGTGAAGCAAGACTAAACTTCCTACCTCTGCATACAGCCTCAGTCATATAAACACGCCACACATCTGCTTAAAACGTTGTGCTGATGTTTTATTTTCTTTCTTTTCAATTTGGGACCCATATTCCTATAGCCTTGTTTATTTTAGAATAAATACAAAGTCAGTGTAAATTTTTCGCAAAGACTTTTACCGTACTTTTTTACAACTTCAGCCCACCTAATTTATTTTGTCATTTTTGTGACTCAATGGAGGCTAACTGTTTTAGAGTTTGAAGTTTGGAAAAAAAATGAATAGACTGGGTGTTTGCAGTGATGATTAGTGATTATATTTGACAGTTTGGGTTTTTTTTCGTCACATCAGTAAACAGGATGGGCAGTTAATCATTTTCCTGTTTGATTTCTATATTTCTATAATCCTAAAAATCATCACAAATTTAGAAATAGACTACTGATAAAGACATGAGGGTGACATCTTCTTCATGTAGATTGTAACTGAGTTAACAATGAGATAACGAGATGGTCATATTAACCATGACATTATAATAATCCAAACTTCTATGCTAGTATTACGGAGGTAACCTGTTTGCTTGTTTTTTAAATGATATACTAAAGTTTTCAAAGCAAGTCGTTCCTTTTTTTAATTTCCTTTTTTCCCCTAAGCAATTATCAAAGACAATATGTATGATAATAATTTCTGCAGCTTGCTTGGATGCAGTTATTATTATTGTTTTCCTGTGCGATTATTAAGGAGTAAATTCTTAACTTCGGTGTTGGCTTTGATTTCACTGTTAAAATATACATGTACATACACATCGGAATACTACATGTCGCAAAACAAAAAGTCGTGTCCCGCCTTCGTGAGTCGCCGAGAGGACCCGACCTCTCGGTTTCTAACGTTTTAATTTGCCCTTCACACACTGAGCAGTAAACCGAGTCACGAGTGAATGCATCTCCTCTGCGCTGCAGCGCCTCATCTACCCTCTGCTTCTCCTTATCTCCGCCAAAGAAGAAGAAGAAGAAAAAGAAATGAAATCATCTCCAGAAAGAGGCCGATTTCACCTCATTGCGCTACGAGGTGTATCACACAGCTGTTTCTTATAGCAACTCTTTTTTCCCTTTTCAGACCTGTCAGCAGCATTGAGAGAGCATCTCTTTCCGGGCAGCTGTGTAAAGTCTCCACTTGTACAAAGGAAACCAGAAATTTATACACTGCAAATCACCCCCCACAAAAAAAAAAAAAAATCATATAACGCTCTCCTGCGCTTGTGTCCTCACCTAAGCTCCGCACTGCTGTTGTTACACATAAAGACAGATCCCCAGTGAGGACTTTGCTTAAGGATTTTGTTGCAGCATCCCTGACAAATTTATAAGACATTTATTTTACTAAATACAGCTTTTTAAAAATGTATTTATATTTTTAATTCTGAGTTTTTAACGTTTTTAAAGTTTTTTTCAAATACACTATCAGTCAATATAAAACACGTTAAAATCTCATTTTACAGAGGGATTTTTTTTCTTGTTTTGTACTCGAAGCGTGTCAGATTATTTTTATTTGAAAACCGCCGGTTACATCGGCGTGATCTTGAAGAAATATACAAATTACCAGCTTCCTCTTTACGTGACAATTTTTTATAACGTAAGGAACAAGGTATTAAACAATTCTATGTTTCAACCAATGCGAATTAAATGCGCTATAAAGAACATGTGCAATGTTCCGTGTCCGAATTAAAACAGGATTTAAAAAACAGAGAAAGACGCCATATGTTGTAAAACAAGTTCCACTAATATCTCATCGACTCCAGGAAGTTTCCTTCTGAAAGCACGCACAGAGTTCAGTCATTATTAATAGAAATGTCATCCTTCCCCTCTTCTTGCCTCTGTACATATCAGCTCTTACCTGCATGCCCGATGTCTTCTGCCATCCGATCTAAGTCTCCCTTAATGATCATCTCAGCAGTCTCTAGGAGTCATATCTGACGTTTCAGCTTTGAACTGCCAGCCTCCAAAAAACCATGCCAGTTTTCCGAGCTCGTCTGCCAGCTCTTTTTTTTATGATTATTAATTGATATGAATTTCTTTTCACTCCTTAGGTCCGTCCTCCCACCCACTTTCCTCCCTCTCCCTCTGTCTCTCTGTCTCTCTGTCCCTCCTCTCCCCTCTTTCTCGTCCCCTCCTATAAAAAAAAAAAATACGTGCTTAGTACAGCATCATTTTCCTCCCTTTTTTTCAAGTAATTTCCTTAGCTATTTTTGAGTTGGAGCAATAACGCGCACAGGGATGATAATGGACCCTCTATGCGCCCTAAGTGTTTTAGCGCCCCGTGTGATGTCAGTCTATAATAAAACTAAAAGGTAAAATCGAGGGCAGGAACTTCATGTGACCCCGACTTGAACTTCTCAACACATCGTCTTAAAGAGACAGGCAGCAATTGTATACATGTGTGTGTGTTATACCTATGATCCTTAGGTAGCCCACCTTAATTTTAGACAGAAGCGTAATGACGGAAATAGCTTGGACAGCGAATCAATAACATGTCAGGAGCTTAAAGCAGTCAGACTTCTTCCATAACGACGCTGATTTTATTTTTATTTTTTTCTTCAAAACTCAGCTCAAAATTCAATCAAGTTCAATCACAAATCACTGAGGGAATAAATGTGTTGATATTGTATAATTGAAGCCGTTTCATTGAATAAATCAAAAAAACGGTTAAAATAAAAGTGTCCGTGTCCTTTTCTCCAGACTTCCCCTGACAAAAACCTGCCACAATACGAGCCTTAAAGAAAACAATTAGCCTCCGTTACAGGGAAAGTTAAAGCAGGTTAGATAAACTTTGGGCACCTTAAAATTCTCTCTCGCGCGCGCGCGTGCGCTCTCCCTCACCCGCTCAGGTAAAACACCTGTTGCGCAGTTAAAGCCCTCGATCATGACCCGGATTGGTGACTGAACCAAACACCAGTACGAGTTTGGGATACAAAGGGAAACTAGCAACTCGATGACACGAGGGCCTTTTCTTGGCTACTTAAAAATAATCAAGCTCTTCCTCTGATGTCATATTTTTAAGATAAGTAATGAAGTCAAAGTTGTGCGCCCTCGCAGGTAGTGCCATGATGACGGTTTTTAGATAAACAGAAATTGTATTTCCCTTTTCTGAAGAAGTCCTTTGCAGCTTCTCTATAAAGTATTTAAATTAATTACGTGAAACTTTATCTAATATCTATTACAGTTTCCTATTCTGTGCCAGCACAACGTTTTTTCACCCCGTTTCCAGTTTAGTTGAATAACTTGCATGTTGTTTGCCAAATATCAACAGAAAACCTAAGTCTGAAATATTGCATATCAAATGAGCGGTGGTGCTATAATCCAGATGTTACCGTCTCTGTCAGTACGGGTTACATCAATCTGCTCAAAAGGAAAAGACCTGGGGAAGCATACAGTAATTGGATCAACTCATCTCTGTAATTCAATAAAACTGCTCATTCTGACACGTCTGCCTGTGTGCCATCCCCGCCTTTCTACCCGTTTCTCAATCTTACCTCGGACTCATGTCTGGTGCTCTGGCCGTATGTCTTCTCCCCTTTTCGGCATTCCCTCAATAAGATCTCCGCAGTTCCCTCAGTGTCCAGCTCTCTCTCAAAAACTTCTCTTCCGCGTAAATTTGCAGCCCCCTCTCTCCCGGTCTCCCCCTCTTTCACCTTCTTCCACACACTGAATTTCTCACGTGTTAACAAGACTGTCTGACACTTCAGACTGTGTTGAGGTCCGTTCGGACCAAACCTGCCGGCTGAGACTTTACGCGCACAGCGACACCCAATGGCAGTGAGTCCCACAGGCCTTATCGAGAGTGGGACGCGGGTTGCAGTGATGTTGGGGGGATGAAAAAGTCGGTAAGCGCTGGCCTCTAATTTGTGAACGCCATATGACAAGCGTACAGTAACTTATAAACCAGTTATATTGATAAGATAAGATCAGCCACGTCGTTCGCCAGAATGTCAACGAGAGACGGCTGCATATTAAGGGTAAGCACAGGGAGAGTGCCATAGTCATTGTTCATTTTCACGATAAAATGCGTTGTTATGTAAGAATCATTCAGAAGTACAAACACCCCCCAGCAGCTTCCAGTTAAAAATTACAACAAAAAGCTTTAGGTACTTTTACTTCTAACAACTATATTACATTGTATGATTATCTTGTTGAGTCATTAACACGTTAAAAGGTCTTTAATGATGTAATGACTCGCATTTGAGTCGATTTTAAGTGCTTTATATGCTGCATAACAGAGTATTTATATGTGTGGTGTACTAATGCTTAATTTAAGAAGCGACTGCAGTTGCCAAATGTAGCTGACTACAAGTACAGTATGTCTCTCAGGAGAAGCGTAAAGTAGCAGTAAACGTTTAAGTAAACGCTGTACCTTAGTATCTTTTCACGCAGAGTAGTTGAGCTGAGCATTAGTGAACATTAGCAGTAGACTAATAAAAAGCCTTAGACTCCCTTTGTATCAGTTGCACTCTGAGCTGTTATTACAAATCAAACAAAACATGTGCACAAAAATGCTGTGTTTTTATGGCTCCTAATTAGTTTCAGTACCTTTGAAAAAGTACATTTTGATTCTGCTTGCAAACTATAACAAGCAGGAATCATCACCTTTAACTGCATTTGGACGGATTATGTTATTCAGGCCTCAAGCCTTTCTATAACCATCCAAAAGCTTCTTGTTTTTTTAAGACCGCAGACTGAAATTGATGAAACAAATTATTTTGCCATCATATTGAGAGAGACAGCCGATGTGATTCGGTGAAACACTTACCAAACTGAGGCCGATTCATGTTTGTTTTGATCACAGCAGCAGCATCTGACAATGTCATAAAGCACACAGGGCCTCTTCCTCTTTAAATTATCCAACCTCAAGGTGCTGGTCTTTCACTGAAATGCTCTGCTTCAAAACTTAGTGCCTGGTGAAGTTGGGGAAGGTATTGTCTCTGACTTCCATGTTCCCTTGATGAACTGATGATAACCTCACAGACAGAGAGAGACAGAGTTTTCTGTAGGTGGAGATAAATATCTTCTATCAAGGATATGACAGAGTTTCAATTCATAGTCCAAAATAGTTTCCACCAAAGGAAACGTTGTTGTGACGTCATTTTGTCAGGTAGGCTATATGTAGATTTAAAAAGGAGTATAGGGCTGGCAGCATTTTTACCCATTTAAATCCTAATAGTCTCAATATTTACACGATAACTGTCTCTGATTTTTATTAATTCCAATTATTTGTTGGCAGAAAGCATTTAAGATGACAGATTAGACATATGCAGGCTTTACATTTGCCTAGAAAATTTCAGTTGCTATATGATTTTTTTTATTAAGGAGTTATGACACATCTGTAAAGAACAATGAATAAAGAACAACAATCTAATTGATGCCTTCAAATGTAAACTATTTTTTAAAATGCTCTAATCACAAGGCTAGAATAGGTAAAATCTAAGAGTGAATAACAGCCGTTTAACAATCAGCAAACTGTGATGCTGCCTGTTAAGGAAAAGTCTCCGGTTTTGCAAAATTGATATAAAAAGAGACACAACCTTTTAATCTTAGCAGTATTAAGCAGCCTATCATTCACTACGTGCAATACTCAAAACTAGTCTTTTAAGGACAGGGGAGGGTGGAGGGTGGGAAGAGTAACTATAAATATGCAGTAAATATGTAAATGTAGTAGTTTCATAACCAATAAATGATACAAGAACTTGAATAATTCCAACAATATGCATTCAATCAACTTTTGACAGGCTTTATTCAAACCAAACTGGAAGTCTGTCTTCAAAGCCCAGGGTCTGACCAGTTTACGGATGCATCATAACCAATTAATATCATTTTTTTAATATCACATGTTTCTGAGAGCGCTATAACAACACTTAAGGAAGAGAGCATGATCTTGTTTGTTGCTTGCAAACATATTGATACGCTGTCTAATAGTGAGCACCCCAGAACAGCTTGGACAGATGAGATTAAAGGCAAATACAGTGGTTTTGATATGAACAACAGTGGCATGTGCTCAGTCTCTGAGGAAAGAGTCATCACATGACAGCGCGGTCACGATTTCATTTGTAGCTAGGGACTTGTGTTGCTTGTCATCCTCTGTCTTTCCCTCTATGTTTTATGCCTCTTTGTTGCTGACTGTCCAATAAAAGCAAATATGCCATAAATAAACCATTTTTCCCAAATATAAAACTACATAAAAGTTTCTTAATTTCAGTTGTTTTGTGTGTCTCTAGGTACAACTATTGTCTTCCCAGACAGGCGTTATCTCTTTAATCAATCAGCCTCCTGAGGCTTGTGCTGGACATTAAACTTCAGCCTGTCAAAACACAATTTAACATGCCGTAATCTGGAGCACAGCAAACCTGAATGGCTGAACTTTTAATGAACTGAAAAGGCCTCCAAATTGCTGGTTGTAAGCAATGATTCAATTAAAGTTGCAAGCGCAAAGGCCCAGACACAGCCCAGGGAGCACATCCCAAAGCCTGTGCCTGACTACTTTCCCAAAGACCAACACTTGGTCAGGAACCAGAGCTGGAGATAAGGCAGGCTGAACAGCTAAATCCCTTAACATTTTGCTGTCACTCTCTAAATCACACACCTTTCCCACAGTTTCTCCAAGTGTGAGCATGCAAGTTGTACATGTGACATATCTCACCGAAGATTGGTGGATATGGAAACACAGTGAGGCGTTGAATAGTCTGAACGACTGCAGCCAACTTCTTCAGACATCTTCGATCAGATATGTTGCAGGGTCATCGTGTCTCTAAGGCCCAGTCCACCTTGTTTCAATTAAGACTTTGAGTGACGAATATTGCAATTACCTTATTATTGCTCCATTTCTGTCTGCCAGCACAGACAAAGCAGGTCTGGACAATAGACAGGACAGTCTTAAAGTAATTTTAACACTTTGAAACAGACTATCTGAGTGTAATCTTCCACACTTTTCTCAACTACTAACATCAGGTCTTTTGCGCGCTCTCTTTTCTGTCTTTCATTCTCATCAATCATCTCTCCGTCCGTCCTTACTTTCTTTCCTTCCTTCCTTCCAGTGGACATGGCCACACATATCTCCAGATGCTGGCTGTGGCCGCCTCACCATACCAGACGCACACCCCTCCAGCTTCAGATTCCCTTCACCACCAAAAATTGAATGGTAGGCTCAACATTTACACACAGACCTCTCTTAATTCATTGTAATGAGCAGTTGCACGACAGCTTTAGTACATAGGCGTGCAAGGCATGTCATCTGAATAAGCAGAGTTGTTGTGTGCGTTTGGCCTCTATTCTGGGTTGCCCATCTGATGGTGATGCACAATTATCTTGCCATGATTAGTGCCAGATAAGAAATACTTGAAAGGCAAGAGTGGTATGGGGGGATGAATAAATGCAAGATAGTTTCTGGGTTGAGAACACTCACACCATAGCATATTTTATTCTCTAAACATTTTCGACTATTTGACCTTCACAGTTTGTTAATGTATCCAGTCAATTAATATAAATTAAATTAAAATATACAAAAATATTGGAGCCACTTAAAATAATAATAATAATAATAAACAAAATTTATTTTGCATTTTAGGAAACTGGATTTTTCACCTATTCTTGCAATCATTGAGATAAGAGCATTAAATAAATAGTATTAATTCTGTATGGTAAACAGACTTCGTTTAAACGTTAATAATGGAAGCAAGGCAGCTTACATGTTGAAATCTTTTTTGATTGTACATATTAGATATTGCAGTGAAATTGTGTTTTAAAGGTGCAAGGAGACATTCTTTGGGCTACCATAGAGGTAAAAGCACAATTTCAAAATGTTCATTTAAGGTCTACTTCTGAGCTTTAACCTGAGCTCTGTGACTCTCCCTCAGCTGAGGGAGTTTATCCTGTTGTTTATGTAATTATAATTCAAATTTCCATTTTCTTACACTTGAAGAATCGAGAAAAATCATGTGAAACAAACATAATACTGACACTGATATGGCATCCATCCAGTGCTCACTCTCCGTTTAGCTGCGGTTGGGTTTCCACCGCCTCTTCAGAGATGCATATGTATCTAGCACTTTAGCAGTTAAATGCTCTATTATCACCAGATAGTTGCCAACTTTTTCTACAGTTTGAGGCTGAGCAGGCATGCAGTTGGTTTTTTTCTCTTTTTTTTTAATGAACATTTGCCTTCAGGACAGTAAAGTTGTGGCAAAAAAGAAAAATCCACATCATGAGCTGAAAGATGCTAAAATGCTCTTTAAAGCAGATTAACTGCTTTTAGGTTGTACTTTTCTGCCCGCGTATGACTGCCAGACAGTTATGTGATCTGGTGTTAAAGGGAGATTGAAATGGGAACATATTTTTTCGACTGATACTGAAACTGAGTAAGTAGTGCAACACATATCTGGCCTCCTCCTGAACTGCAGTGTGGGTATCAGTAACTATGTTAAAATCTGTGTATCTGTGTGTGCGCACATGTGTGTAGGCCAATCCAACGGGCGCCTGTGCAGCACATGGCTGTCCGATGCATGGTCTCTGCTCCCTGGTCTCTCCTCATTAGCCTCACACAATGCAAACATTCCCCTTCCCTCCCACTCCGCCACCCCTCCTCTCTCGCTTTCTCTCTCTACCTTCTACTCACAGTGCACACAGGGGGAAGAGCAAACCTTTTGTTTTCTGTGTCCAACCTGTGCACAGCTCCAGCCC